GGGGGGGGGGGGGGGGGGGGGGCTGCTCTTTCGAACACTTGCCTGCCAAAGGTCATTGGTGTTGTTGTTAGTTCCGCTTCTGCTGTGGAGTCATTTGCGTCTCATGTTGTCTTTTTTGACAAGACAGAATCGGTGTGAAGGAAGGAGCAGCAACGGACTAATTATAATTAATAAAGGAAACAGCAACAGACGCAACAACTGGTTGAGTATCACGTTCGTTCCCCTGGGGAGGGGAGATGGGAAGGATGAAGCGAAAACGGGGGAAAAAAAAACAGAACAGAACGAAACGTTTGCAGAACGAAGAAACTCGAAAAAGAAGGGAACAACATGGACGTATCAACGTTCCCTAGGGAGACAGACCGATACAGTAGCGGCTACGGTTTAAGGGAAAACGTTTAAGAGAAAGTACGGATTTAAGAGAGCGAAATTGGCTTGTGCCGACCAAATGGATTTAAGAGAGATTTTTTTCTCTTTTATTTCTGAGACTTTCCCTTAAATCCAACATCTGGAAACCGCGTGGACATCACACAACACACATACGCAGCCGCAGACACCATGCCCTGCGCAGCGGGCAGTCGATGCACAGCTGTCCCCGACAACACGCCAGGGGCTTGAAATGGATGGGATTGGGGTTGTTGGGGGTGGTTTGTGTGCAGGGGATGGGCGGGGTAGAAGTGGTTCAGCGTGTGAGTTGAGTTCATTTTTTCTTGGGCATGTGTGCTGGTGGTGCCTATCCGTCGGCTCGTGTTGTCCTTCTGGAAGAGGTGCGAGCAAGAAGCACAGCCATTTACAACTCAACAGAACTACCGAGCTCAATAGAACACGCGCAAAAAAAAGTCTTCCTCTGTGTGCAGAGTTTAATTTTCCTAAAAAATGTATCGCGCGACACCATGGTATATTTTTTTCACAACACAGGTACCAAGAGCGTACCGCGTACTTGGGCTAAATGTTCGCCAACCAACAGAATGAGCGGTGCTGACGCCAGCATGCAGCGTTACGTGACATGAATGATACACGCTCTCCTCAACCTCTTAAGTCATATATATTGGGAAGAGGAGCGTCCATCTTTGACGGCATTTCGATTTTGCTACGGTTGTAAGAGAATATTCTCTTATAAATATCGACATTCGTTTTAAGAGAATATTCTCTTAAACCGTAGCAAATACGGTATGAGAGAAAGCCAGATTTAAATTGGCTTGTCCCGACCCTCTCTTAAACCGTAGCCGCTACTGTATGGGATTTGAATCGTATTGGCAAGCATCAACGGTTCTTGCGGAGAAATTCCCTGAGGGGAGCGCGGGAAATGTATGGCATACCTCCCGATTGAAGGATAAAACAGGGGACACGACCTTTGCGGCCCCTTTTAGAGGGAACATGTCCTCCCCCTCCGTGCTCAGTCTACCTTTGAGAGCAGGCAACAACAAGCTCTGGTGTTCTGTTCCAAGAGCAAGTGAGTCATCATCATCATCATCATCATCATCATCAGGGTCTTCAGGGATTGCGACGCGTATAATCCCACAACAAGATGGCATTTGGAAGGAAGAAAGCAATAAGCCAAGAAACAATAGATGAAAATAATCTCTATTTGCCGAATGAAGAAAACAGAAACGGAAGCAGCAGCATGTTTATGTTTACATCTCGAACGGTAGAACCTCTGTTGTGATTGTACGGGAACTTTCTATAAAGCATCACAAAAGCCGCGACAAGACATGAAAGAATACCCAACCGTTCATTCCCGGCAGCAAACGGAAACAAACTCGACTATTTTTATTTTTTGAAAGTAAAAATAACCTCACATAAGGACTACCCGTTCGAGATATAACCTCAGTCGAAACTTATTTTAGTTCGCCAGCTGTGGTGGGGCGGCCGCACAACAGCACAACAGAGAGGGCCTTCCGTGTCTTCCCCACCCGGGAAGCTTCTTACCGCGGCCTCGCTCGCCCTCTCCCCGTGTTTGCTGCCGACGGGGTACGGGCGGCAGGCCTCCTCTCTCGAGGGAAGAAGGAAAATCGGTAAGACCCACCCCTATACATTTGCTGCATGGCACAACACAGCGGAATACCAATTTGTTTGCCTTCGTGTGAATGCGCTCCGGATTGATTTTGTACCCCGTTCCGTTCCGGCCGCTCGCAGTGTCTGCGTACGTACCTCAGGCAGGACCTTGCGTCTCTAATCTTGATGACTGAAGATAGAGGCTACCTATGATCCCGGGGCCACACAGAGGAAACCTCGTGCGACTCGTGCCTCCCATCGGGTCTTTGTACTTGAAGCTCTTGTGTACACAAGTTTGTTTTAGGTTTCAAGCATGGAATATGCACATGATTTATTTTTGATAAAGCTCTAGCAGTATATGTATATGGAAACAATCTATTCTTGTGAGCTCCAAGCACGGTAAAAATGCACACGGTGATGAGTCACTATTCTAAAGTTTCAAGCACTACGGTGTATGCATATGGGCATAAGCTATTCCAAGCGTCGCCCCCCGCCCCCCCCGGCCCGTAGCCAGCCTTACCGGTTATCTCCGAGTCGTCGCAGCTTCTGTGGAGCATGATCCCCGACCCGCCGCTGGTGTCCACCGTGTTGTCCTGGATCACCACGTGGTCGCAGCGCTTGGACGCGATGATGCCATGATTCTTGTTGTTCCACACCGTGTTGTTTCTAATGGTGAGGTAGTCGCTGTCATCGTGAGGGTCGAACCCGTACACGTAGTTGTCTGACGACGATAAAAAACAGAAGGTTAGGGGGAGGGGGGGGGGGCGTACTCTTATGTTTTGCATGCCTTAACGGTTAAACCATCGGCCACGTATCGTCCAAAGGACGGAGCATTGTTCCCACAGGACCCATCACCGATGGCCAATCGTTCCTTCCTACTTCCCGAAGGGTGCCTCAAAAATGTCTTTTTTCCCCTACCCTATCTGTCCTATCGATATCACTTCCCGCCTTGTCAACCCACTTCCATGTGCCCCAGTGCAGCTACCGCCTTCTCCTGGCTGTGTATTCCATGCCTCGAACATGTAATCTCCCTGTCTCTTCCTACTTTTCCCAGCTCAATCATAAACATTTCCCTCTCCTTCTTAGACGGCGAACGGAAGCGGAGGGGAGGTCGCTTTTCGCGATGCCCCTGCTACGAGTCCGACCCCGCCCATAATTTTCTGGCAAACCAAAGTCAGACATGTACCACATCTGGATGGCTGATCTACCAAGGGAGGAAGGCGGTGGGGGAGGGGCAAACCGGGAGCCGGAAGAGGGAAGTGTCACGTTTCGAGGTGACCTTCTACGAATCCGATCCCGCACAGAAATTTCTGGAAACGATAATCCGGTAGATGAGATGATTTGATCTCGGTCAAGCGAGTGTGTGAGCAAGCCGCCAGAGAGACGTAGAAGCTCTTCGTGCTGCATCTGTCAAAAGCAGCCCTTAAAAAACCTTGGACGGAAAGTGCACCCGTAGGAGTCCCCTTCTCACACGTCTCTCCGCCAAAGGACACGCGGTCCATGGTATTAACAGCTAAGGAATGCCAAACACGAGTGGTACGCCTGCCCCCCTTTATCTGCAAAACGCCTTTTATCTGCTACACGAACGACCCCTCCTTACCGTGCATGAGAGAGTCGGTCCAGACTCCACCCTGGTGGCCGTAGCTGTACATGCCGTACCACATGTGGTGGATGTCGCAGTTCGTGATGTCCCCGTAGACGTTCACGTTGTCGAACACCTCCGGGTTGCTCATGTCCTCGCAGAAGCCTCGGACCTGAATCCAACAAGAATATCCAAGGGAGGAGAAAAAAAGAGCAGGGGTGGACGCGCAAAAAGTTCGTGAGGGCACACTCGCATGTAATCGTACAGTAGTACGACAACAAGAAGGGCGCACACATCAATTAATGCATTGCGACAGAAAAACCATACGGTTACATTGTGTGTTCGAAGATTTAGCGGCGCTTGATTTAGCAGGAAATACAACACGAAACAAATATGACGTTTTCAGGAACCGAGAGACGGTCTCGAACAAAGGAACCGATTTCTAAATCGAAGATTTTTTCCGCACGACTCTCGTCGCACAGACATTCAAGGTAGCACAGACTGCTCGGATCCGGTAGTTGACCGGCTATCCACACAACACACGCCTCATGCAAACCAGGCGGAAATGGTGTGGTGCGGGAAAAACTTGGCCACGATATACATGTGGAAAAAAGCGCTGGATCTTCACCGTCGACAACAGTAAAAAATAGACGGAAAGTGTGTGTATATAATACGTGGAAGCTCGTGGTAGTCGTAAGTCATGTGGCTCTTATGGTGCTACCACAGAGTCGGCTAACGTCCCACTTTAATACCCGTGAGATCGACTGACCTCCTGGGCGACAGCGCAAAATCTACCTACCTTCCCAGGTGATACCGATACATGAACCGGTATCCCGGGTGATACCCTAAGAACCAACTCGCGCTAGACGGTAAAACAGAAGAATGGTTTGGTTTTATTATAGTACAACCGATACACTGACCTGTTGTCCACCTTTAATCAAATTTACACCGAAAAGTCTACCCCACCTTCCAGGTGATCCCATAGGATTCCGATGCGAAGTAGCCCATGTGCCCCAGCTCGCTGTCCACCATGTCCATCCGGCACTCGCCCTTGTCCTCCCTCGCGTAACCCGAGTCGCACGTGTCGTTCTCGTTGACCACCTAATATGCGCAAGTGCAAGCAACGCGCACACATGACAGAAGTGGAGCAGTTAATATTCATCCGTCTGGATGTAGGGGCAAAACCAATTGATACAGCAGGTGGACACTGGGAGCGACGAGAATACCCGGCGATGATATAAAACGAAAAAATGAGAGAAACAAGGTGGTACGCAAAACAGCAAAAACTGCGTAAAAGAGGAAAAACACCGGGAAAAATCAAGTGATACAATACAACATACAAAAAGGTGAAAAAAATGAAAAAATCTGCTGAAAACGCACCAACGTCCGCTCGTTCCTTCGCTTCGATCTCGCGAGACGCAAAGATAGGGTAACTATAATGTGTGTAACCGCCACACATTGCATAACCAATTCTCGAACCCAGGGGACAAGCAAACTGTAAGCATCCAACGGTGAACACTGTCTTTCACAAACCGATATTTGGCACGGTGGTACGAGCGCCCACCAACCCCCTTCTCGCTCATCACCCTGGCATGACACACTTCACACCTCGCTGGTGCAGGCGATGTAGGAGCGGGGCTCGTCCCCGGTGCTGTCGTCGGCCAGGATGTGAGCCGTCAGCAGATTTTCGTCCCAGCTCTGGATCTGGGGGGACAAAGACAACAGCAACATCTAAAGCTGTTGAAAACGACGACAAATAATGACATCAAAGTCACCACCACCGACGAGCACTACGACACCATCATTAACAACAACAACAACAATATCAACAAGTGCTGTCGAGCAACACCTGCATCACGTCAGCAGCAACACGTAAATCGAGGAACAGCATCCACAGCGCTAGCGTCACCACATCACTGCCACTGACAACAACAACAGCAAGGGAAAGCGGATTCACTGTGAGGTAAACAAACACAATCCCAGACAACCAAATAAACGACAAACGTCGTGCGTAACCCCGGTAAACCCCACGCACGCACCAAAGTCTTGTAGATGTCGAGGTTGCCGCCGTGCCCCCGGACGGCGTGAATCAGCGTCGTCGAGCTCCTGATCTTCAGCTGTTAATACGATTACAGTCGTGATTTCGTCGCGGTTTGAAGTCGTGTGTTCGCTACGGTTTTAAGCCGGTTGTTCGTTGCGGTTTCATGCCGGTTGTTCGTGACGGTTTTTATACCGGTTGTTCGTTGCGGTTTCATGCCGGTTATTCGTTACGGTTTCGTTTCGTGTGTTCGTTGCGGTTTGAAGCCGTGTGTTCGGTACGGTTTCATCCCGGTTGTTCGTTGCGGTTTCATCCCGCTTGTTCGTTACGTTTTCATTCCGTGTTTTCGTTGCGGTATGAGGCGTGCGTTCGGTACGGCTTCATCACGGTTGGTTGTTCGTTGAGGTTTCAAGTGTTATGATCGTTACGGAATCATGTCGCGTTGTCGTTTCATACCGTGTGTTCGCTTGTCGTACCGTGTCTTCGTTGCGGTTCGTCTCGGCTTCAAGCCGCGTGTTCAGGCACTCCGGTTGGGTCAGGACGTGTTCACAACGAGCTGCGATCTCCTCGAATCGTCCCAAGGTCAAAACTAAATCGGGCCATAACATTTTCATCCTGATGGATGTCTATGGACACCACTTCTTCCGCTGCTCCATTGCAAAACCCGCCCCCCTCCCGCATCAGTGGTCAATGGTCTAACCGCCAAGGCATGCAAAACATAAGAGTGCGCCCCCCCCCCCCCCCCCCCCCCCCCCCAAAACCCTTGGGGGGGTTTTTTTAAAAAAAAAAGGGGCCCCCCGGACCCCAAACAACAGGGGGCGGGGGCCGGGGGTTCAACCCCCCGGGAAAAAAATTTTTTTTTGAAAAGGAGTTTTTTTCCCCCCCTCCCCCCTTTTCCGGGAGGGGGGGAAAAACCCCCCAAATTTT